GTCAATGGAGCGCGATAGTGAAAAAAATTTAGGAAAGGATTGATTCTAGGCCGTGTCTTAAGTGGGCAGCCTTAGGCCTAGGGTGTCACCTTAGATTCACTTTTCTATATATATATATATATATATATATATATATATTTGTTTTGTATATATGGTCTTGAAAAATAATTTTTTATCAAGAAACTTGAAAGTTATTTAAAACAAAGAGTTAGCATGTTCTTTTCAAAACTTTTAAATTAAATCTCTAAGATTTGACTTGGTTCTGTATTGCTATAATGAAAAAGATTTTCTAAGAAATTTACATTGGAGTTATATATAAAAACGTTTTCTTGATTATTAACTAACTTCTATTAGAATGTCTAAATATATCAAAGAAAATTAGTTATTTACTGACTTATTTAACTTGGCAAGTTGACCGAATTTTGTGGGTATATTCACTGCAAACCCTCACGAGACTACAACTCGTCCACTAGGGTAATCTAGGGGTTTAAAGGCTTATTGTATGTGCTAAATACAACAGCAATTCCTACGAAAATGAGTTAGGATTTTTTTTTCTTTCTTTACTAGAGGACTAGCAAAAGTTTAAGTGTGGGGGTATTTGATAATCACATTTTATTACAGTTTTACACCCTCATTATCTATTTTATATGAATAAATATACTACTAATAATTATTTTTATCTTTAATTATAGGTTAATGAAGAATAAATCTCAAAACTCTCATCTCTCAACAAAAAACCATTGATTTATTGAAGAAATAAAGCCCATGAAAGCAAACAATTTCTTTTAATATTCAATGAAGTGTTGAAGCACAAATGAAGAAAAAAATACCAAAGCCCAAAAGAAGCCCATTGGAAAATCAATTTCTAAATTATCCAAAAGCCCAGAATCAAGCCGAGTAGCCTGTAGAAGCCGGAGAAAATAAAAAATCCAATATGAAAAGAAATCATATTCAAAATGGTTGGCCACAAAGAAACGACGATATCTCCTAATCCGGGAGGCGGAATTTAACATATAATATATGAAAATCACCTATCTCGACAAGACAAAGCTATCTGTAAAATCAGAATTTGGATATAGTGTGTATTAATGTCAGCATCGATGTGGGCATCGATACTGGCATCGATACCAGCATCGATGCCTGCATCGATGCCAGTTTACTGTAGCGCGAGTCAATGGTTGATTTTGCTTGTCTTGGGGCTCAAGTTTGATCCAATGGCTCTCATTCACTGATGTTTACTATATATAGGGGTAGAGAGTGAGGGCTTAGAGGTATGAAAATTTTTATAACTTCATTTGGAGAGGAGGGCTACTCTTAATTGAGAAGGCCTTCCAAAAATTATAATTTTTATTGTAATTAATAATAATAATTTTTTCTCCACTTTAATTTTATCTTTTCTCCTCTTTGTTGAATGATGAGGATGGAGATGAAGAGCAATTTGAAGGTTTGCATTTCTTTTATTTTTCTCTTTTATTTCTTTTTTATAATTTCTTTATTATTACTTATTAGTTAGATTTACATTCATACTTGTATTGTAGATTTATTTTCTTATCTTTTTATTTCTTTTTGCACTTTAATTTGTAGAGTAGATTTATTTTCTTGCATTTAATTTTTGTAATTTATTTTATAGTTTAGATTTTAATTCTTTGTAGTTAGATTTATTTCTTGTTCATAGTTTAGATTTTTATTTTCTTTTTAATTTTGTAATTAGTTCTTTTTCTTCTTGTTTCTATTTCTTAAGATGTAAAATTAATTCTTGTGGGAATCTTAGAATTATATGAAGCTAGTCTAATTTCCTTTATATTGTATGAATTATTCTCTTGTACTTAAAATGTTCATGTTTAGGATAATCAACTAGAGAACTAATCGGTAGAAGAAGAATTTGATAATCTATGCTTATCTTAAATGGTTTGATAGGTTATGCTTATGAATTCTAGGATTACTATCTTGTTGTTATTTTTATCATGAATAGTAATTTTAACTTAGATGATAATTTGATAGGTTATACTTTTCTTAAATAGTATGATAGTCTATGCTTAATAAATCTAAGTTGAAATATGATAAAAAAGAATGGTTTGTATTTTTTAATTGAGATTAGCTAGTGGATTAAATTCTAGATTTCTCATATCTTAATTGAATCCTCCATCTTGACTTTCTTGAATTTTTTTTTCATTCTTGATTTTATTCATTCTTTTTTTTCTTGCCTTACGATTTCATTTATTCTTTGATTCTTATTTCTTTTCTCTAAAATTCAATTTATTATCTCTTGTATATATTCACAACAATCACTCATCACAATCACACTTATTCTTTAATCCTATTTTTGTCACACACACAACATAGGAACCTATTCTAATAATCTCTTAAAATCACCTTCCTCGTGGGATCGATAACTTTTTATACTATAACTTAATCAATTGTGCACTTGCAATTTTGGTACATAATTAAGCCGCATCAAGTTTTTACCATCCATACCTATTATCTCTGATATCATCCTCGACATTATCATCCTTGACATTATCATCGACATCATATTCTGTAGGTCGATGTCACGCCTCGCTTCCTAAAATACCGTGGAATCGAAACGTGAACAAGTCCGCGACGTATTAGATTAATGAGAATAAATAAAAAAACTATTTCTTCTCAACCTACACTACAACAAAAAAGCTATTCCGCGAGGAACAAGTTTATCATTGAAAGCCAAGATTTTCTCGTCTTAGTGTGTTGGCGAGGAAAAAACTTTGGTCACTATTTCCTCGTGGTAGGGTGGCCAAGAAAAGTTTCTGCGAGGAATATTATAATTTCTCGTGAAATCATTTTTGCGATGAATATATTCTTTTCTTGTTGTTACTTTTAGCCTCGATATTTTTCCTCACCTAATATAATACCTTTTTTATCGATAAACTACAGTTTTCTCGCCAATGATACATGAATAATATTTAATTTATATATAATAAAAGTTCTAAAAAACTATTTTTGTCGTTGTAAGTATCTTTCAGCGAGGAAACTATTCCTCACTAAAGGTAAATTTTTAACGAGGAAATTGATTTTCTTCATTATATGTATCTTTTTCTCATGGAAACAGTTTCTCATTAAAGGGACTCAAAGATGAGGAAATTTAAATTTGTCGTTGTAGGTTATACCCCATATTCCTCGCCAAAAAAAATCAATTACGAAGAAATTTACAATTGTCGATATAGGTTATATGGTCTATAGCGAGGAAAATTACTTATAATGAGGAAATTTTATTTCATCAATAATAATGTTATTACGAGAAAAATGCTCAAAATATAAATAATTGTCATCAATTGTCACCACAGTACATCAAAATAATTAAAATAAATAAAGCAAGCAAGTTTCTACCATAAGTAACAATGCTAGTCTAAAGCAATAACTAATGCAACACGATCAAAGAAACATTTCTCCAAGTTTAAGTTCACTAAGAATACTAAGCTGATGGATGTTGCCTGGAAAAATTAGCCATAAACTCCTCAAACTTTTTGGCTTGCTCTAAGCTGATGGATGTTGCCTGGAAAAATTAGCCATAAACTCCTCAAACTTTTTGGCTTGCTCCTCCAATATTTAGATTACCTCATTTTGCTCATCGATCTTTTGTTGTTGAGTTCCTACAAGTTGTTGGGTCTCTTGAAGCTATTCTTGCAACTCTTTATTCTTTTCAGAAATTTCACTCATTGAATAACGAGAGAACCTTAATGGTGGTGGTCTAGGGCCAAAACCATAGCCCTTAATGTAGCTTAATTTGACTTTGAGAACTTTGCACATAATCCGTGTACGCTGCCTATGAAGAAATTACGTGAGCAAGGCCAAAATCAGCTAGTTTGATGACATCTTTTGTACATAGCAAATTTTCTCTGGCTGATCATTTAAAAAAACATGTTAGCACTATGGATTATAGCTTTCCTACTTCAACAGGCATGAGCAGGTAATAAGGAAGATCCTCAATACATAAAATATGACTGATTAGAAGTATATAAAGATTAAGACAACACTAAAAAAACAAGTGAAATTTGCAGAATAAATATAACAAAGCACGCTACCAGGCTTAAGGTCAAGGTGGAAATAGCCATGCTGGTGCACATAAGCCAAAGCCTGAAATATTTAAAAGCACCAGTTCCTGATTTCTGACTCGGCGAAAAGCTTCTCTCTATCCTTCATCAGCTGGTAGAGATTGCATTCCTTGTATCATACAAAATCTTAATAACATACAATGTCGCTGTAAATCAGAGGAAAAGCAAAGAAATAGCAGGAATAGAAGAAAAGCGCATACCATATATTCAAAGACAGAATAAAATATCATTCTCTCTTATAATCTCCTTGAGCTTCACTATATTGGGACAGTTCATCCTACGCAGAGACTGAAAAAGAAAGATTTTCAGAAAGGAATAACCATAGAGCCAAAAAGGAGAGGACTTAGGAACTGCAACTACCTTTACTTCTTGAAGATTCACGTACTCTTCCCAGGAATATTACTTCTTCATTTTCTTAATTGCAACATGCAAATTTTAGTTATTGGTATGAGTATCATGGGAAATATAAAGGCTATATACGCCTTCTTTGAAACTGCAAAAGATAGCTTGAATTCACTAAAAAGAAACAACTTCAGGAACATACAACTTCACTGTTCTGCTTATCGATAGCTCGCCAAACATTTCCAAAAGTCCCATCACCTACTTCCTTAATTACCCTAAATCTGAGACAGAAAGCACAAAACATGTTCAGAACCAGTCACTTAGTACTCATGTAACTGTTACTATGTTGTCGTGCATGTG